GCTTCCTCCACTTTCTCCTTTCTCTCGGGGAGGTCCTGAGTCAACCAAAGACAAGAGGTTCACGGAACAGGAAGGCAGGAGGGAGGGAGGTGCTGGTCGGTACCTAGAGGCGCAGAAGCCCAGCACTGCTTAGCCCAGGAGGCCCCTGCGGGCACTTCTTAGGGGAGAAAGAGGTGGAAATGGTTACTCTGGCAGCAGGACTGGGTGGAGACAGAAAGACTACAATCCTGCAGCCCTCAACCCACGCTGGCTTCCCTTGCTCCACCGTCCACACCTGGAAAATCCCCCGCCCTGGTTACACCCACGGATCTGCACGCCTGCCGCTTCGCTGCTTACCCCACTCCCCGCTGACCGCTACCTGAGAACACATGCGGCCACTGTTCTCAAATGGACATGCCACAATCCCATGGTAAGCCCCTGGTGAGACAACACCTCACCCCTTCCTCTCTTCAAACCCTCCATACTCCCACCCTCTGCCCACCCTATGAACCTGCCTCTTCATCAGGAGAAAACTGGAAGCAACTGGATGGGAGGCCCCTCATCCTCTCACCACCCAAACCATGGCCCCCCAGCCCCGCCCTCCCTGCCATCCCTCTGTTACCTTCTCAGAAGGGTCTGGCTCTGGGGCTGGCACTGTCTCACCTTCTGGAGGGCAACACCCCTGCAGCCACGCCCCTTCTCCTCTACTGCCCTCTCTCTCCCGGTGGACACCTCCCACCAGGAAACAAACATGCTCCATTATCCATGTTTGCAAAGACCCTGCCTCGCCCCCCAGCCCCTCTGGCGACCACCTTTCTCTGCTCCCTTCACTGAAAGGGGTGTCTAGAGTCCTGTCTCCTTCCAGTCAGGCCTCATAGAGACGCCTCCCTGACAGGCCAACCAAGAGGTACACAAACTCAGCATGTCTAAAACGGACCATCCGCAAGCTGCTTCACCTCGGCTTTCTCAACTTTAGTAAGCCTAGCGGCTCAGGCCACATTCAGCTCTCTTTCTAGCTCTGCATCAAATTCATCAGCAAGTTAAGCCGTCTCTTCCTCCAAAACACACCCAAACCCACATACTCCTCTCTCTCCATCTCCACCACCCCAATACTAGCCATCACCATCTCTTACCAGGACCGTAACAACCATGTCCAAAGACGCTGCCACACAGCCTCCTGCAATCCAGTCCCCACCCAGAAGACAACACAACCTCTTACAAACCAAAATCAGATCACATCACTCACCTGATTAAAACCTTCCAACACCTTCCCATTGTGCTAACAAATAAAACTCCAAGTCTCCAGGTGGGCTCACCAAGGCCGCCATGATCTACCCTCCTTCCCACTGCCCTCTTCTCTGCCCACGTACCCCTTTTCCCCCCGTGTCACACTCTGAGGCATTTGTAGGCGGCCCCTCTGTCTGGAATGTTCTTTCCCTGGTCTTACCCACGGTAGGCTGACTTGTCATCCAGAGCTCAGCTGAGAGGTCACTTCCTCACAAAGACGACTCCCTAAGAACCATCTAAGTGACCCCTCTCCTCTCTATCACATCACCTTATTTCAGTTCTCTGTCTGGTACTTGCTACTGAGACAGGCTGGGCCCTGGGACCCTTTGCTGCTGTGCTTGTACCTGGACACACGTCTCCTCAAGCAATGAAATACAAGGTAACTATTAGGGACTAAAAATACCTGCGTGCATGTGCAGTCGGGGCAAAGATACAAAAAACACGGAAAACCCAAAACCCAACTGCCATTTCTGAAGAGCCGGGAGCGAAAGCAGGGTCCTGCGCAAGCCCCCTGCACACACTGCCACCGAAGGGGTGGGCAGACCTCCTAAGCACCCCTCTGGCCCGAGCGCTGGACACACCCCTCCCCTCACCCCATATACGAACCAGCTCTCCCTGCCTCGGGGAACCGGCAAGGGAACCTGTTGCTTGTTTTCACTCCCCCCCGCTGCTGCAGGAGGGGCCCCAATAACACCTTGTGTGAACTTCTTGTCTGGCCCATTATCAATTTCTATTGATTAACCATGCCAAGAACCCTGGTTGGTAACGCTATTTGACATTTTCCTTTTTTCTCTCTCTCTCTTTTTTTTGGGGGGGGGGGCATTTTCTTATGTATTCACTTATTTATTGGTTCACTATATGTGTCTTTCCACTGGAATTTAAACATTATGAGAATGTGAATCACATCTGTCTTTTGACAATTACCTTCATTGCTGAGGTAACCCCAGAGCCCAGAACAGTGTCTGATACATATTAAGCTCTTAGTAAATATATGTGACAGAGAAAAGAAAAAGAGAAGAAAGGAGGGAGAGAGGAGAAATGAACCGGGGCAAATTCTTAATCTAAGCCTTGGCTTCCTCTTCAATACCACGAATCACACCTGATGTGAGGATTTAGGTGGACCAGTATCTGTTCAGGACACTGACATGAAATAGGTGCTCAATAAATGGAAGCAGTATAAGAGAGGTTAAAAGTACAGGTTCTGGAGTCAGACTGGGCTCCAATCCTGGTTCCAGAACTGACTGGCTCCTTAACTTTGGCCTGGTTACTTGGTGCCCCCACCTGCAGGATGGGAGAGTAGCAGGACCTACTGCTGTATTTAAACAGGTTCACACAGCAAAGCGATCAGAACACAGCCCGCAGAGTGAGCCCTCCGTGAGTGAACTACCACTGTCCACCGATGGGGCCCACGCTAAACCATTCTGCCCCTGCTGTTTACCTACAACAAAGCAAAGTGACTGTTAAAAACTGTCCTCTAGGGCTTCCCTGGTGGCGCAGCGGTTGAGAGTCCGCCTGCCGATGCAGGGGACACGGGTTCGTGCCCCGGTCCGGGAAGATCCCACATGCCGCGGAGTGGCTGGGCCCGTGAGCCATGGCCGCTGAGCCTGTGTGTCCAGAGCCTGTGCTCCACAACGGGAGAGGCCACAACAGTGAGAGGCCCGCGTACCGCAAAAAAAAAAAAAAAACTGTCCTCTAGCCAAGCACAGAAGGTGCCTTTTTATTTAGAATCTCCTAAGACAGTTCCAAATACCAATCCCAAGAACCAATTATTAGCGGTGGTTTCAGGCTAAAAATTATTATTAATACAGAAACATTTAAAACCATTTGGGGTCTAATTATGATTCCCTAATGATTTAAGAGATAAATATAACAAGCCTGTTTTGCCAGTTTGTGAAATTAAGTTTCAGAGGAAAATCTACACAATTATCATTCCACCGCCACAGCAGACACATCATCCAAGAACAAGCCTCACATTTCAGGATGTCTGCAGCACGGAAGTGGCCACCTGGAAGCTACAGAGATCAAGGCGACACCTCAGCAGCTGCCACACCAGCAGACTGTGATTAAGTTCTATTGTTGCTGTAAGCGGTTACTCTACGCCCAATCCATCCACAGCTGTTAATGCTCTCGTTACTTTGTTCTGGGACATTACTACCAGCTGGTCAAGCGTTCCAAGAGGTGGCCTGGTCCAGAATCATGCTGGTGAGTCCCAGCAGTGGGAGAGAACACACAGGGTACACAAAGGTCAGTGGCCAGAAGGCTTTTGGGGGTGGGGTTGGGGGAGGGTCCCATCCGGTTCCCCTACACACCAGGGAGAAGCTCTCCAATCACTACTGTGGGGTGGGGGTCACAGGCCTCACATGACACTCAGAAAAGTGGTGGCCTCCCTGAGACTGCTCACTGCCACACCCCTGGCCCACTGTGGTCACCTTGGCCATCACTTTTAAGGCCCTGTCTCTACCCGGGGAACTGCACCTGGAGTCACCTGAAAGGCACATCCACGTGGAAATTTAATACTTACAGCTTTAACCCTCGACTGCCACCCAGTAGCACACCTTGTACTTCACAGGTGACAGGCACAGACCTTGCTCTCAGGGAGCCATACTGAGTCACTCCACACATATTTATAAAATGCGTACATTCTAGACATGGCCACCATGAAGCTCACACTCTTGGTGGGGGCAGCAGACAAGAAGTATACAAAGAGGTATAAGGTCAATGACCACAAGGGCAAAGAAGAAAAGCAAGTCAAGGAGAGGGGACAAGCGGGCAGGGGTGGGGGAGGGAGTGATGGCTGAACAGACGCCTAAATGAAGTGAGAAGGCAAACCCACAGACGCCTGGGAGACGAGCCTTCTGGCTGGGAACACCTGAGGCCCTAAGGTGGGGATGTGCTTGGTGTGTTTGGGGAATGGCACTGGGGCTGGAGGAACAGACACTTGCATCTCTTACCTGGACCACCTGAGACAGGTCTTCTGCTTCCACTCTGGCCCCTGGAGTCTATTCCACAGGGTCCCTTTAAAACCTAAATCTCGGTGAATAGATGAACTAATGGTGGCACATCCATACAAGAGAACACCACTTAGCATTAAAAAAAGAATTGCTGATGGTGCGACCGCATGGATGAATCTCAATAACATTCTGCTGAGTGAAAGAAACGAGACACAAAGAAGCACATATGGCATGATTCCATTTACACCAAACTCTAAAAAGGATAAATCTCATTTAAAGTGATAGAAAACAGGTCAGTCACTGCCTGCGGGGCAGAAAGCTGGGATAGGGCACAAGAGAACCTTTTGGGTGACTGAAACGGTCTATATTTGATTGTGATGGTGGTTACATGGCTGCATACACTTGTCAAAATTCATCAAACTGTACACCTAAAAGGGGTTCATTTTACGTAATACTTCAATAGTTGATTTTTTAGTGTACCTTCATGAAATCTGGTTATGTCGCTCCCTGCTCAAACTGTCCAGTGTTCTCATTATTATGTGACTATCTAAATACCAACTGCTGCTGAATCAAGTTACATACTATGAAAATTTTTTTTTAATTTTAATATTAATGGGACTTCCCTGGTGGTCCAGTGAGCAGGACTCCTTGCTCCTAATGCAGGGGGCCCGGATTCAATCCCCGGCCGGGGAACTAGATCCCACATGCACGCCGCAACAAAGATCATACGTGCCACAAACTGAGACCTGGCACAGCCCAAATAATTAATTTAAATAAATAAATAATTTTTTTTAATTTTAATATTAAAAAAAAAGTATGTATTATGATTACTTTTATCCTTATACAACCTTCTCCAGGAATTAACTGCTCCTTTTTTCCCCTCCATTTACTTGGACTTCCTTAAATCTCTGGCTAAGTTTTCCCACACCCTCCAATGGCTCTTTATAACACCTCTCCAGTCGTTTTTATACTTTTCTTCATACAAATGTCACCCTGGAGTCTCACATCATCCTGCTCTGGCTGGACTGAGTGCTGCATAACAAGTGTTCTACCCCTTTGTCATCATCTGGGAAGTCTCAGGTCCCCCTCCTGGGGGGTTGGACCTCCTGCTCCCAGCTTCCCTCATTTTTTGCCTTATTGCTTCATTGTATTGGTGCATATCCCTCCATAGCTTTCTGAGAGCAGCTACATGGGACATACATTTTTTGAGACCCTACATTTGTGAGCAAGTCCTTATTCTACCTTCATTCTAGAGTAATTTAATTAAGAACAGATTGGGGGTTAGACATTATCTTCCTACAAAATTTAATGACACATTCCAATCCTATACCCTTCCTTGTGGATTCTCTTTCTGAAGCTTTATCCAATACTCTAAAATATTTCTATAATGTGTCTTGGTGTAGGTTTTTATTTTCCCAGTCATTATCCTAGGTACTCAATGGTTGCTTTCAAACTAAAAACATATCCTTCACTCCTGGGAGACTTTGTTATATCATTTGATATTTTCTCTCCCACGTTGACCTGAACTCTTCCTCCATGTTTATGTTGCACCACTGATCCTCTCATTTTACCTTTACTCTTCTCTGAAACAATTCTACTACAAAATATTTCGATTGATAAATCCTCTCCCCCAAAAGCTATTATAAAAATTGACAAAATTGTCAAAAACAACCATTTCAGTATTCTGGACATTGAACAGAAGCATACAAAAAACAGAGTATCTGTTAAAAAACAACAACAACAGAAAACTACAGGCCCTTGGATAAGAATATGAGACTAAGGTGTGTCAGTCTGGAGCTTCTCCCACTCTCTGGTCCTTTGGCTGATAGTTCTACCACAGTAGGCAAAGCTGTGAAAACCGGTAGCTTCAGAGGTGGCTGACTTTACTGGAACCTTGAAACATCAGAAAGTAAGAAAGAACATGGTAAGAAAAAATATGGGTAAGTACAATAGGTTTTCTTCTCATGAGTTTTCTAAATTATGTTTGACAGTTGAAATAAAAATTGTAACTGTCCAATATGGTTCTAAATGAACACAGAGGACATATTTTTAAAAATTACATTATAAACAGGGGAGGGTAAAGAGAAATAGGGTTTCTATACTTAATTCAAACCAGTAAAGTCAACAGGCATAGACTATGTTATGTATATATAACATGTAGAGCAACCACTTAAAAAGGTATACAAAGAGATACACTTAAAAAACACTACAGCAGAAGCAAGAAGAACTACAATTCTGCAGCCTGTGGAAGGAAAACTACTTTCACAAAAAGACAAAATGAAAAGGCAGAGGAATTTGTACAGATGAAGGAACAAGATAAAACCCCAGAAAAACAACTAAATGAAATGGAGATAGGCAACCTTCCAGAAAAAGAATTCAGAATAATGATAGTGAAGATGATCCAGAACCTCGGAAAAAGAATGGAGGCAAAGATGGAGAAGATGCAAGAAATGTTTAACAAAGACCTAGAAGAATTAAAGAACAAACAAAAGGGATGAACAATACAACAACTGAAATGAAAAGTACACTAGAAGGAATCAATAGCAGAATAACTGAGGCAGAAGAATGGATAAGTGACCTGGAAGACAGAATGGTGAAATTCACTGCCACGGAACACACTAAAGAAAAAAGAATGAAAAGAAATGAAGACAGCCTAAGAGACCTCTGGGACAACATTAAATGCAACAACATTCGCATTACAGGGGTCCCAGAAGGAGAAGAGAGAGAGAAAGGACCCAAGAAAATATCTGAAGAGATTATAGTTGAAAACTTCCCTAACATGGTAAAGGAAATAGGCACCCAAGTCCAGGAAGCGCACAGAGTCCCAGGCAGGATAAACCCAAGGAGAAACATGCCAAGACACATAGTAATCAAATTGACAAAAATTAAAAACAAAGAAAAATTATTGAAAGCAACAAGGGAAAATGACAAATAACATACAGGGGAACTCCCATAAGGTTAACAGCTGAATGCTCAGCAGAAACTCTACAAGCCAGAAGGGAGTGGCACCATATATTTAAAGTGATGAAAGCGAGAATGTACAACCAAGATTACTCTACCTGGCAAGGATCTCATTCAGATTCGACGGAGAAATCACAAGCTTTACAGACAAGCAAAAGCTAAGAGAATTCAGTACCACCAAACCAGCCCTACAACAAATGCTAAAGAAACTTCTCTAAGTGAGAAACACAAGAGGAGAAAAGGACCTACAAAAACAAACCCATAAGAATTAATAAAATGGGAATAGGAACATACGTATCGATAATTACCTTAAACGTGAATGGATTAAATGCTCCAACCAAAAGACACAGGCTCACTGAATGGATACAAAGACAAGACACATATATATGCTGTCTACAAGAGACCCACTTCAGACCTAGGGACACATACAGACTGAAAGTGAGGGGATGGAAAAAGATATTCCATGCAAATGGAAATCAAAAGAAAGCTGGAGTAGCAATACTCATAGCAGATAAAATAGACTTTAAAATAAAGAATGTTACAAGAGACAAGGAAGGACACTATGTAATGATCAAGGGATCAATCCAAGAAGAAGATATAACAATTATAAATATATATGCACCCAACACAGGAGCACCTCAATACATAAGGCAAATGCTAACAGCTATAAAAGAGGAAATCGACAGTAACACAATAATAGTGGGGGACTTAAACACCCCACTTTCACCAGTGGACAAATCATCCAGACAGAAAATTAATAAGGAAACAAAAGCTTTAAATGACACAACAGATCAGATAGATTTAATTGATGTTTATAGGACATTCCATCCAAAATTAGCAGATTACACTTTCTTCTCAAGTACACAAGGAACATTCTCCAGGACTGATCACAACTCGGGTCACAAATCAAGCCTCAGTAAATTTAAGGAAGTTGAAATCATATCAAGCATCTTTTCCGACCACAACACTAAGAGATTAGAAATCAATTACAGGGGAAAAAAACGTAAAAAACACAAACACATAGAGGCTAAACAGTACGTTACTAAATAACCAAGAGATCACTGAAGAAATCAAAGAGGAAATCAAAAAATACCTAGAGACAAATTACAATGAAAACATGATGATCCAAAACCTATGAGATGCAGCAAAAGCAGTTCTAAGAGGGAAGTTTATAGCAATACAAGCCTACTTCAAGAAACAAGAAAAATCTCAAATAAACAATGTAAACTGACACTTAAAGGAACTAGAGAAAGAAGAACAAACAAAACCCAAAGTTAATGGGTTGGGAGTTCGGGATTAGCAGATGCAAACTTTTATATATAGAATGGATAGATAACAAGGTCCTACTGTATAGAACAGGGAACTACATCCAGTATCCTGTGATAAACCATAATGGAAAATAATATGAAAAAGAATGTACATATATGTATAAGTGACTCATTTTGCTGCACAGTAGAAATTAACACATTGTAAATCAACTATACTTCAGTAAAATAAATTATTAAAAAAAATTTCAATTGAAAAAAACACAAACCCAAAGTTAGTAGAAGGAAAGAAATCATAAAGATCAGAGCAGAAATAAATGAAATAGAAACAAAGAAAACAATAGCAAAGATCAATAAAACTAAAAGCTGGTTCTTTGAGAAGATAAACAAAATAGATAAACCTTTAGCCAGACTCATCAAGAAAAAGAGGGAGAGGATTCAAATCAATTAAAATTAGAAATGAAAAAGGAGAAGTTACAACGGACACTGCAGAAATACAAAGCATCATAAGACACTACTACAAGCAACTCTATGCCAATAAAATGGACAATCTGGAAGAAATGGACAAATTCTTAGAAAGGTATAACCTTCCAAGACCGAACCAGGAAGAAATAGAAAATATGAACAGACCAATCACAAGTAATGAAATTGAAACTCTGATTAAAAATCTTCCAACAAACAAAAGTCCAGGACCAGATGGCTTCACAAGTGAATTCTATCAAACAATTAGAGAAGGGACGAGGGGAAGATGGCGGAAGAGTAAGACGCGGAGATCACCTTCCTCCCCACAGATACACCAGAAATACATCTACACGTGGAACAACTCCTACAGAACACCTACTGAACGCTGGCAGAAGACCTCAGACCTCCCAAAAGGCAAGAACCCCCCCTACCACGTACCTGGGTAGGGCAAAAGAAAAAAAGAAAAAACAGAAACAAAAGAATAGGGACGGGACCTGCACCAGTGGGAGGGAGCTGTAAAGGAGGAAAAGTTTCCACACGCTAGGAAGCCCCTTCGCGGGCGGAGACTGCGGGTGGCAGAGGGGGGGAGCTTCGGAGCCACGGAGGAGAGCACAGCAACAGGCGTGCAGAGGGCAAAGCGGGGAGATTCCCCGTACAGAGGATCGGTGCTGACCGGCACTCACCAGCCCGAGAGGCTTGTCTGCTCACCCGCTGGGGCGGGCAGGGCTGCGAGCTAAGGCTCGGGCTTTGGTCAGAGCGCAGGGAGAGGACGGGTTGGCGGCGTGAACGCAGCCTGAACGGGTTAGTGCGCCACGGGGGGGGCCGGGAGGGAGTCCGGGAAAAGGTCTGGAGCTGCCGAAGAGGCAACAGACTTTTTCTTCCCTCTTTGCTTCCTGGTGTGCGAGGAGAGGGGATTAAGAGCGCTGCTTAAAGGAGCTCCAGAGACGCGCGTGAGCTGCGGCTAAAAGCGCGGACCCCAGAGACGGGCAGGAGACGCTAAGGCTGCTGCTGCCGCCGCCAAGAAGCCTCTGTGCGAGCACAGGTCACTATCCACACCTCCTTTCCGGGGAGCCTGTGCAGCCCGCCACTGCCGGGTTCCCGGGATCCAGGGACAACTTCCCCGGGAGAACGCACGGTGAGCTTCAGGCTGGTGCAACGTCACGGCGGCCTCTGCCGCCGCAGGCTCGCCCCGCACTCCGTGCCCCTCCCTCCCCCCGGCCTGAGTGAGCCAGAGCCCCCGAATCAGCGGCTCCTTTAACCCCGTCCTGTCTGAGCGAAAAACAGACGCCCTCCAGCGACCTACACGCAGAGGTGGGGCCAAATCTGGGAGCTGTGAGAACAAAGAAGAGAAAGGGAAATCTCTCCCAGCAGCCTCAGAAGCAGCGGATTAAAGCTCCACAATCAACTTGATGTACCCTGCATCTGTGGAATACATGAATAGACAACGAATCATCCCAAATTGAGGAGGTGGACTTTGAGAGCAAGATTTATGATTTTTTCCCCCTTTTCCTCTTTTTGTGAGTGTGTATGTGTATGCTTCTGTGTGAGATTTTGTCTGTATAGCTTAGCTTCCACCATTTGTCCTAAGGTTCTATCCGTCTGTTTTTTTTAAATTTTTTTCTTAATAATTATTTTTTAATTTGATAACTTTATTATAATTTACTCTATTTTATTTTACTTTATCTTCTTTCTCTTTCTTTTTTCCTTCCTTCCCTCCTTCCTTCCTTCCTCCCACTGTCCCTCCCTCCCTCCCTCCTTCCTGTTTCTTTCCTTTCTTTCCTCCTTTCCTTCTTTTCTTCCTTCTTTCTTTCTTTCTTTCTTCCTACTTCTACTAATTCTTTCTCTCTACTTTTTCTCCCTTTTATTCTGAGCCATGTGGATGAAAGGCTCTTGGTGCTGCAGCCAGGAGTCAGTGCTATACCTCTGAGGTGGGAAAGCCAACTTCAGGACACTGGTCAACAAGACACCTCCCAGCTCCACATAATATCAAACGGTGAAAATCTCCCAGAGATCTCCATCTCAATGCCAGCACCCAACTTCACTCAACGACCAGCAAGCTACAGTGCTGGACACCCGATGCCAAACAACTAGCAAAACAGGAAAACAACCCCACCCATTAGCAGAGAGGCTGCCTAAAATCATCATAAGTCCACAGACACCCCAAAACACACCACCAGACGTGGACCTGCCCACCAGAAAGACAAG